CTATATTGTATATCCCTTTGATTCTTCCTTACTTCTCTTGTGATCGAAGCATGCATGCGATATTATATGTGTCTGGCGATGGCGACTACACGTGCGCCTTGCCTACAACAAAGAACAAACATGTCCCGCGCGTCTTGATTTAGTTGCCCTCTCCCCGCACGTGGGTTATAGTTTATTTCTCCCTGCATAGCATCCAAAGAGAGGGTCAAGCAAAAAATTTATATACGTGTATGTTTGACTATTATCGCATATGAACTACTGCCATCTTATTGATCTCGGTTTCTTGGGACCTCGGTTTGCCTGGATTAGCTCCTTTTATCATAACTCCTTCATTCAGGAAAGATTGGACAAACCTACCATGACACATTTGAAAAGGCTTCATTCTGTTCATAGCCCTCTCCTTCCAGGGGTTGATCCCTCGAAGAGGGATGACCGTAAGAGGCCTGTTCGATATGGACTAATTGTGAGGAGTTCACTCTCTTGTTGCATGGTATTGGGAACTTTAACAACAGTAATCTTTTTTCCTCAGATTGAGTTTTTTAAAAAGGAGGTTAAGAACCGGAACAAGAGTAGATTTGGAAATATTTTTCCAAAGATAAAACAGCTTTTAAAGAGACTTGACGGCATCCAAAAAGCATGAGATTACCTACCCGGTTCTTACTTGAAAGGAAGTGGGGGAAATTGGATTGTGAGGGACAAGGATAATGAGAATCACGTGCTCAATTACTGCAATCCAGATGTGAGCTCAATCCTTTGATTCCTGCTACTTGGAATAACAGGCTGTCTGATCAAAGCCTGGAGTGTTCTGAATGCATTTATCACTGGTGAGGAAATTAAAAGAGCTCTGTGAGATCTCAAACCTAATTAAAGCTCCTGGTCCGGACGGACTTCAAGCTCACTTCTTTCAGTCCCAATGGGATGCAGTGGGTAGGTCTGTTTGTGATAGTATAAGGAATATTTCTGAATCTCGCCGCATCCCTCCGGGTCTCGGTTATACTTTGCGAGGTGCTCATTCCTAAATGCAAAGGTCCAGAGACCCTAAACGAATATCGTCCAATTAGCCCGCGCCATACGGTGTTCATAATCGTGTAAAAAAATTTTGTGAAAGTATCTGAGTCCTTTCCTTGATGGTTTCCATCAGCCTACTTAAGCAAACCTTATCCAAGGGAGGTGGACGGCACGATAACATTGTCATCGTTGAAGAGCTTGTTCAAAAGATGGGAAATACTAAAGGGTACAAAAGTTTCCTGCGCAATGAAAATTGACCTAGAGAAGACCTACGATCGTCTTGAATGGAATTCCATTAGAGGGGTTCGCAAGCTGTTCGGTTTTCTGGATTCGTAAGAAACTTCAGTCCAAGAGCTGGAAGGATCGACCAAAGATTTCTTGGAAAATCATCTTCCCCAACTCTCTCTGGCTGAAGCGAAACCAAAGCGTTTTTCATAACTTAAGGAAATTTCCTAAAGCAAGTGAATTTTTTGATGTAATGGGTACCAAAGAAAAGAGGACGCATCCAAGAAGAGAGCCGATACAAAGTGCTGTTTATAAGAGACCACAATGGTTTCTGGATTGCTGCTAGGAACTTTGGCTGCTAGAATGTTAGTGAAGCAGATATATGAGCTATTAAAATGTGTTTGTTTTATGGAAATATACCAGACTTCTTCTTTTATAAGGCTCTTTCTTATAAGTCAAAAATTTTCTCAACAAGGCTGATAGAGTACCCTCGATGGGATCCTTCACTAGAAAACCCAAGGGAGGTGGCTGCCCCCACCTTCACAGCCACAGCATGGAGGAGCAGCTTCTCAATTCGCACACAGAACCTGCTTTTTAACTTTGCTTGAGGGACAAGGACTTACACTCTCAAACCCCAAGGCTCTCTCTCTTCCTTTTCTTACCAAGGATATCTAAACCCGATAGTTACAGCTCTATGTCTGTGGGGGGATTCTCTAAAAAAAAAAAGACTAGGGCTATTCAAACCTTTGAAACTACTAGGTAATCTAGTATTGTTATGCATGAAGCTAATAAATTCCCTTGTTATGGCCGGACTCTATTTTGGATTTCCGACTACATTCTCCATAGAACTATCTTATCTCTTCCTTCTCCGAGTTTGGGTTATGGAAGAAGGAGAAGAAGGAACTGAGAAGATGGTATCCGCAACAACGGGTTTTATCGCAGGACAATTCATGATGTACATGAAAGATCCTTTTTTGGGTCTCTCTTCAGCCATATGTCTCTTATCCCTATGAGGTCTTCCTCCACTAATAGGTATTTTCGGAAAACTCCATTTATTCTAGTGTGGATGGCAAGCAAGCCTATACTTCTTAGTTTCAATAGGACTCCATACGATCGTTATTTCTATCTACTATTATCTAAAAATAATCTAGTTATTTTTTTACTCTTTTCTCCTACTATTAGTGAAAGCATAACAGTAACTACAACTTTGCTTTTTCCGTACTTCCACCAAATCCTCTCTCTGATGTTAATGTTACTTAGAAGCATAGTCCTTACTTTACCGAAAGCAAGGAAGCATCCAAAGCAATCCAATGTAATTATCCAAAACGAGTTTTCAGACTTTCATTGTTTGGTTCACTAAAAATGGATATTCAATGGAAAAGACTTTACGGCCAATGAATACAACCCTACTTAAAATTGAGGAAAACGATTTCTCCACATCCTCAAAAAGAAAAAAACTGTTTTCCCAAGCTATTTTCCCACGCTCACGCTCACACAATGCTTCAATCTATTCCCTCTCTATGCTTCTCTGTGCTGATCTTCACTACTCTTCGACACCTCCTATTGGGATGCTTACTGTGGTATATTTTTTTATTACTTTTTTGGAATGGAGAAGCATTCTCACATAGTGAAAGTTTTTTGGTGCTTTTATATGATATCCGCGATTCCTCTCGATTTGTAATCCAATACACAAATTAATGGGTTCCGTTAGACTAGCTATATACTGTGTGTTATCAACGATTTCTACAGAAGTTGGTAAGACGATGTCTTGAGCAGTTTTATGACTAAGAGATTAAGTTTGTTAATTATTGCATTTTCTATTTATTTGGCATCTTTTTTAAGGTTACTTTATTTTGATAATACAAATAAACATAAAATTTATACAGCATATATTAATAATATTTTAGACAAGCATTTCGATATCATCTTAATATCTTATAACAACAACAAAACATATTTGTAACAGAGAGAAGGATTTTTAAAATTAAAATTTGAATATCGAAAAAAAATTTCTGTCCCACTTTCAAGTACGCCGCTTAATAACTGAAAATTAGTCATTTTCCCTTTAAAATTACTTTCACTGCAAACATTTTCCTCTAGCAAGAAATTTACAACGAAAGTAATTTTATATTGTTTGGATTTCAATAGAAACTTCTTGTTAGGATTATGTCAATATCACTCATCTTTAGCTGTTTTACAGGCTGGCGAATCACCTAGTGATAGCAATGTCTTATGGAAGCCTCATTTTGATAATTGCAGGAGAATATTAGCAGGAACACATCCTTTGAGAAGTTAATACCTGTGCTCATATGTTGGTATGATGGGGAAAGGAGATGGATCAATGCGTTATTGTTGGGCCTGAAAAATGCGTACGAAATACCATATGAAGTATGGATAGATGAGTAAATTGACAAAAGTTGCGAAGGGTTCTCCGATGATTCATGGATAGAAAATGTGAATGACAAAAAACAAAAAAACTGAAGACAATTGTGTTCCGCCATGTAAATGTGTTAGATATATAAAGATAATTAGGAAGGTAAAATTGAGCAACTAGTGTTCCTTGATTGACTAGTCACCCTCTTTACAAACTCCAATTAAAGTATTTAAACTACTACTAGCACTTTAACACCGGTTGTAGGAGAAATTAAACACACACTACTCGATTCCTATAATTCAACAATCTCTCTATATAAACATTATTCATAAAAAACCGACTCTACCACTTTGATGGTTATGCCTCCACTACTTCACCGATTGTGTTGTCTCCATTACTCTTATGTACAATTGTTATTTTCAATTGCTCACGAAATTCTTGGCTCCACTACTCAATGGTTGCTTCCCAAATCATTACCTCCACCGGTCACTTTACTTTGTTGATGATTATGTCAATCATGGTCTTCTCTCACTTGAGTTAGACCTTTGATTGTCGATATTCTACTCTTGGATTTTGGTTGTTTTCGTCTATATAATCCGTCGGCTAAATGCAGTTTTATAATCGACCAACTGAATTTGCCAACCAAGGGCTTGCAACTCTTTGCCAGTTTTTTCTCTGTCATATTTTGCTCGGTCTCTTCCAATCCAAATCGACTATCAAAGACCTAGAATATGTGTTAGGGTGTGGTTATACTCTCCATCGATAGAAAAGCAGCCCAGGTCATGGTCGTGTTTGCGCTAATAATCTTTTTCTTGTAATTGAGGGATGCAAATGTTATATGCGATGTGCACTAATTATAGTGGAATTCTATACTTAACGTAGCCCTAGAACCCTAATTTAAAGGGTGAATCGAAATAAAAATCTCGTGTCTCCAATTCCTTTTCTTGCCTTTACTTTCTACTTCCTTGTGATTGCGTGCTAACTCCTAGCAATGCGTTCCGTGATGAACCTCATCTCATTACAAGCATTCTCTTATCAGACCTATGCGGGCATAATACGTAATGGATGGTGGATGACTGAACAAGGTTGCGGGAACGCGATGCAAAGTGTGCGGTGGTGGGATGGTGGGTGGGTCCAAAACTCATCTGAACTTTGAAGGGCCTGCTGCTGATGAGTGACGATGGGCTCGCGGTCGTGGGGCCCGCAGCATTTCGGCAGCACTTGGGTCTTCCCTAGTCTTACTCGTCACTGTCACTGTCACTCGGGGAACAACGTCCCACGTGTACGCACGGTTGGACTCGTTGACGGCTGACGTGGCATCCTCAAACAAGGAAGCTCTCCCGATGCCGACAAAAGACGGGTGCGTCCTTGCCGCTTGTGCTGTTTTACTATAAACCAGGAAACAGTCATCGAAACCATAACCCAATCGCCAAGTTGTCGTCAACAGTCCGTGACGAAATCGATACCTTACTTCTTATGCATGGCGAAGGAAACCCATGTTCGTTAGAGGACGAGGAGTCAAGAAAGGACTCAACTTTATGATTCTCTCTCTCTCTCTGTCTGCCACAGTCAATTCGAAGATTCGGCTGTAAATGGCGGGATGAATGTCTCTAAAGGCAATCTGGGTGTCGTGGGAATCGACCCAAGAAATCAACATCGTACATCTAACGTTGGAGATCGCGTGCGATTTCATTCCGAAGTTGCCGGGGGGCCGCGCTTTTGGGGAATTGGGTTTGAATTGCGTTTAGATTCTTGGGGCGAGGATGGAGGAAGAGAAGTTAAAGGAGGAGGAAGAAGACGGGACGGGGTCACGTGACTTCGGGGTCGCCTCGCGGTCCTTCCGCGGCAAGTTCCTTCCTTGCAAAGCTATACCAAGCTGATATCAACTACAAGCACTCGCTTCGAACTCCTCCTCTATATATATGGAGACAAAAGAGCAATGCTGCTTGCTCTCATGCATTCTGATTTCCGAGTCTTTTCGCATTCCGTCGGCGAGCTTTTGCTTTGATCCCTGCCTTCTCCTTCTTCCCATCTCTTGAACTCAAGTGGGTTCCGCTGCAACTTTCTTGGTTCCTCTGATTCTGCATTCCCTGCTGATACTTCACGCTCGGGCGACGCGACCCTGAAGCAAAGCGTCGCCATTGTGCGCTCCTTCGCCGAGGTCAGTCGCGGATGGCTTCGGAATCTGGTGTCATGGACGTGCAGGCCGATGCGCAGCTCTCCGCCGATCCTCTTCCCTTCGCCAGATGGTCAGTTGCTTCTGCCTTGTCTTCTCTTGTTTTGACAATCCCAGTTGTCGCATGGTCATCATCCAATTGTACCGAGACTGTCCGTTTCTTGTTGCCCATTTTGGGGTTTGGTGATTTGGGTTGATGATGTTTTGGGCGTCGTTGATTGCCAAAAAAAAAAAAAAACAAACAGTTATCAGGTGGAGGCGTTAGAGAAGGCCATGAAGGAGAACACGATAGTGTACTTGGAGACAGGGTCGGGCAAGACTCTGATCGCCATCATGCTCCTCCGCTCCTACGCCTACCTCCTCCGCAAGCCCTCCCGTTTCATCGCCGTTTTCTTGGTCCCTCAAGTCGTCCTCGTGTCCCAGGTTTCTCCCCCCCCCCCCCCCCCCCTCTCTCTCTCTCTCTCCCACTCTTTTGAAGAAGCGTCCAACTGAAAATGTTTTCCTTCTTTTGTTTTTGGGTTTCTCTTTCTGCAACTCCTCCTCTCCTTGTATCATCGGTTATGTAAGCAAGCGAAGGCCATAAAGATGCACACAGACTTGAAGGTGCATACGTACTGTGGAGATATGAGAGTTGATTTCTGGGATGCCGCCATGTGGCAGCGACAACTTGATAGCTATGAGGTTTGATTTCTTTGTTCATCTTTGCTGCACTGTCCAACTGTTTCTCTAGTTGCTTCTCTTACATCGTTGCATCTTGTCAAGCTCTGTCTCTTTGCGTCATTGTGAATGTCATGTGGTTTCTTATTAGTTTTCTGTGGTGCATTCCTAATTAATTTGTTCTTAGCTATCATCTATAGCTATCCGTTGAAATTATACGTAGGTAATCCTGATAATTACCTTGATATATTTATATTTACTTCATCTCTTCTAAGGGAGAGCACTTTAATTTTGTAAGTATCAAGGGCGATCGTTGTAGTTTCGTCCTCCGTTGATCAGTGACTGGAGTCATCTTATTGAGTGGTGATCTTATGTCATGTTTATGCTCCCAGGTGCTTGTCATGACACCGGCTATCTTGCTCAACTGTTTGAGGCATAGCTTTTTCAAGCTTGACCTGATAAAGGTTCTCATCATGGATGAATGCCATCATGCAAGGGGTAAACATCCATATGCCTGCATTATGACGGTGAGTCGTGGATTTGTCTTCTTGAATTGAAATAAGATTCTATCTCCAACTATATCCACAATCTGTGTTCGAGAAATGGCTCCAATACGGTTGTTGTCTCATCATCAATTCACTTGTGTAATCTCACATGTCGTTAAACCTGTTGCCAATACATGTATCTTTCGAATTTTGGAGCGATTGCTGGTGAGTGGTTGGTTTTTTGCTTGTTGAATGAGATTTACACTTTCGTTTCTGTTGCATTGCACCTGCCTTTTCTGTTACCTAGAATGCAAAACATGCTTTCCCTCATAATGGAGGGATATGGATGCATCTACAGGAATTCTATCACCCTGGGTTACGTCGCAATAGGCAAGTCCCGAGGATATTTGGTATGACTGCTTCCCCAATTAAGTCCAAAGGTATGCAAGCTTCCGAATTTTAGTTTCGTGGCTTTGTAAACCAATCTATGCCAATGATACTTGACTAACTTTCCTAAAACCTAGGTGGGAACTCTGAAGTTCAATATTGGCAAAATATTAATGAACTTGAGACTGTCATGAACTCAAAGGTACCTCCTTGTGTTGTTGGATCCATGTGTCTCCATACGCTACACTGAATAAAATCAGATGGTGGTGCTTTCTTTCTCTAGTATGAAGTTACTTTTGTTGCTGCTGTTTGATTTTTTTATTTTTGCTTCAATTGCACTTTTAAAGGATTCGTATGGTGTCATTCTTTGCGTTGGACATGTCGATGCTTATGCAATGTTCATATACACGAGATTACTGCATGTCTTAAAATAATTTACGTTATGCACAGATTTGAGTTCCTGAAATTAATTGTGACTTTTACCTTTGGTTTTTGTATTTGAGATCTGATTTTGGTTTAATATCGAATACCTCAAATCTCTGAAACCAACTCCATATTGGTATTAATGGTCAAACCTATGTAGGACAAAATGAAAGTATTTTCGTTTTCCATTTTGGTGGGGAGTCAATAATTTAAAAGCTGCCCCTGGCACGACCCAAGAATTGTGATTAACACATCCACGGACGTCATTGTTTCTCTGGGCCTTGTGCTGGTTTGTACTAGTCACCCTAGTCTGTTTCCTTCTCGAAGTATGAGACGTTGCGCTGTTAATCCCTTTAGGCATTTGAATGTTTAGTGCTTCATGAATTTCTCTGTTGTCCTTGTTTGTTATACGATAAGCCATGTAGGTTCTGTTTTATCATTGAAATGGTGCAGCTGTGTCTTGACACTTTTCCTAATTTCTTCTCATGGTCATTTTTTCCTTCACTTGTTGTCTAAGGTCTACACCTGTGCCAGCGAATCTGTTCTTGCCGGATATATTCCATTTTCCACACCAAAGTTCAAGAGTTACGAACATAGGGAGATCCCTTTCGCTCTCTATCTCCATTTACTAGATCAACTGAAGGGTTTTGTGGAAAAGGTTGGTACCTTGTGTATGAACTTCACATGTGAAAATTAAGGACTATGACCACCTAAACTAAGTTAACAGGTCACAGATAATAGTGTCTTTTCTATCAAATATTAAATCTCAATTATGGGATCAACTTGGTCAGCAGATAGTGTTTATGCTTTGGAAAAATTGATAGTTTCGCTTCTCTAACGCGGTCTTCATTCAAATGAAGGGGCGAAAACAGAAATAGTGGAGAGTGAAAGATTTTGAGTATTGTGTTCTTTCGTCTCTTTCTTTATTACTGTTGCTGAAACTGTTGGATTGCTTAGTGTGGCTCTGGCTTTTAGCTTTCTTCTTTAGGTTTAAGATTTTGGTTTTTTAAACAAAAAAATTGTTTAATGTTTAACATCTCAGATCTTGTATAGATTATAAGCATTGATGTTTGAAGTCATAATCAGTAAAACACCAAGTTTTGTTTTAAATTGTCCTGAAAGCGTTATAGTTTTTTACTATCCCTGGGTTGTTAAAAAAAACACTTATTTGGGTTTATACAGTGCCTGAATCTTTTATCTGCACCTTGTTCTGATACTACACATGCTCATCATATTGAGCTACACTACGTGTCATGAAGATTTGCTCCCCTCCTTTGAATTTATGGTTCCCTGTTTACTTTGAGTGGCCTATCCTTGTCATAGAGCTTTATGATATTTTGTTTGTTGCTTTTCAGTATGAAGTGAAGCTAAAAAAGTTAGACATCGAGGAATTATCAGCTCAATCTACAGAGAAAAAAATTCGGAAGATCTTCTCAACGTTCATTTTCTGTTTGGATGATCTTGGGCTTTGGCTTGCGCTTAAGGTGCTATTCTCCTTTTTCTGTTTACTTCCGCTATCTTTCCATTAGACATTTTAATTAACTGAATATTCCAGTAATAGGCTGCCCGGTCAATATCATGTTGTGAAGTTAATGACTTATCTTGGGGGAACTTAGATGTGTTTGGTGAGACAATTGTGAAGGACTTTAGCCAAGATGTCCTCAATGCATTCTCGGCTTGCATTCCTTCAGGTAATTTGATGAATACTGCTTTGTAACTATCCAAAGTCTGATGCTCTGTTTGACATATTTCTCTCTCTCCATTTAAAGATCCAAACTGGTCGGTTGGTGATAATGTCCAAGGAGATGTGGATGCTGGGCTCATTACTTGTAAAGTTGGTTGTCTCATACATTCCTTACTTGAGTACAGGTAGGTATATGAATGCAAGATCTCTCTGTTTCAAGTTACATGTGAACCTGCATAACGGAATTATCCCTCTTTAATTCTTTGCAGGGATATTCATGCTATCAGATGTATAATCTTTGTAGAGAGGGTTATTACAGCTATTGTACTTCAGTCTTTGCTAAGTGAGGTGCTTCCGAAGTACTGTAACTGGAAGGCCAAATACATAGCAGGAAATAACTCTGGTTTGCTATCACAGACAAGGAAGCAGCAAAATGAAATTGTGGAGGAATTCCGTAATGGGAAGGTTCATTTTCTTGTTTCCCCTGTGTCACAGCTTTTGTTAACTCTTCTACACTGTAAACTGCTTAAGTATTTCCTTTGCCAGGTGAATGTCATTGTTGCAACGTCAATTCTTGAAGAGGGTCTAGATGTGCAGAGCTGTAACTTGGTCATTAGGTTTGACCCGTCCACCACAGTAAGCAGTTTTATTCAATCCCGAGGCCGTGCAAGAATGCAGAATTCGGACTATTTATTGATGGTGAAGAGGTGATATTTTTGCTCTTTTTTCATTGGCTGAACTGAGCTTATATAGTTTGGTGTCCCTCTTTATCTGTCACTGCTGAAAATTATATTGGATTCCAATAGGTTATTTTATCTTTTCCCATTGTCATTTGCATTTGTTAGTCTATTGTTTTTGTAACACCTTCTTTGTTATGATTTAGTGGGGATTCTTCGACGCATTCTCGTCTTGAAAAGTACCTCTCTAGCGGGGAGACAATGAGAAGGGAATCTCTACATCATGCTTCCCTTCCGTGTGAACCTCTTAATGGCAACTTGTATGATGAAGAACATTATCTGGTGGCAGGCACTGGAGCAATTGTTACTCTTTCTTCCAGTGTTGAATTGATATACTTTTATTGCTCTAGGCTTCCTTCTGATAGGTAAGTTACGTCGCATTTTTGTTTTTTCTGATGCTATATTTTTTTCAACCTTTGATTTCTGCAGCTAAATGCACGTCTCTCATGTTCTTCTATGTGCTTTATGGTGCTTTAAATTATACAGTTACTTCAAGCCTGCTCCTAGGTGTGTCATAAACGAGGAGATGAACACCTGCACTCTCTATCTACCAAAGAGTTGCCCCCTACAACCTGTTCGTGTCCAAGGCAATCTAAAGATGCTGAAGCAAATGGCATGTTTTGAAGCATGCAAACAACTTCACATGACTGGTGCTTTGACAGATAATCTTATCCCTGCTATTGTTGCGGAGGAAGCTAATGCCCCAGTAGTTGGTATTCCGTTATCTAGCTTCTAAAGTTCGGCATTTGCTTTTTCATACTTCTAATTTGTCTAGATGATCATGGCCTTAAGACCTAGAAATTTTTTCTTCCTAATTCTTTGGTCATAATTACATTTACTATACTTTTTTTGGCTTGTGTCTCTTGCTTGATAAAAGGCAACGAACCATATAAGGAAGACCAGCCCGCTTACTTCCCTCCTGAGCTGGTCAAACATCGTCCCAATGAGTCCAAGACACTGTATCATTGCTACGTGATTGAGTTGAGGCAGAACTTCAATTATGATGTAACAGTTCAGAATATTGTTCTTGCCACGAGGAGTAAACTGGAA